GTGTGTGTGTGCCATGGAAGGACACACCTGTGCCCAGCTCTGGTCAGTACAGGTGTGTGTGTGCCATGGAAGGACACACCTGTGCCCAGCTCCGTGGCCTGGAGCCCTGGTCAGCAGGGTGGCCGTGAGCTCCGGGGACAGCGGGGACCGGGTGCCGCCCCTGCTCGGTGCCACCCGGCCCCGCCCGGTGCCCGGCTGGGCGTGGACTCGCCCGGGGGTGCCCGGCCGAGCGTGGAGTCGCCCGGGGGTGCCCAGGGACGCGCTGCTCAAGCTCTCCCTTCCCCTCTTCTCTCTGCCTCCCCAGGACCCCGGTTTTGCCAGCCAAGCCCTTATCAGCAAGAAGTTAAACGACTACAGGAAAGTGAGGTACGGGCACCGAGACCCCCGGGGGCGTTGGGCACCCTGGGGTGACGGTGACAGAGCAAAGCCTGGATGGGGCAGTGATGGAGGAGCTGGCATGGCCTGGGCTCGGCCAAAGTGGCACCTGGCAACCAGGGTTGGAGCAGCCCGGTGCTCCCTGGGGGTTCTCTGGGATGTCACCGGTGATGCTGGCAATGTTCACCGCGAGGTTTTGTGCCCCACCCTGAGCCGTCCCCGCTCTCCCTGCAGCCCTGCGGGCACCAAGCCCGACTCGTCACCCAAGGGCCCTCGTGGGCTGGGGATCCGAGCCGAGTTCCTGAAGCAGACGGGAACCAGCGCGCCCCGGTCCCCCAGGCAGGACGTGGCTGTCACAAAAGGTTGGTGGGACACCCCAGGACAGCACCCCGGGGGTGCTTTGTGTCCCCCCAGTTCTGCTATCCCTCTAAGGCTGCTCTTCCCATTTATCCCAAGTGATCCTGTGGGTTTTTTTTTTCCCCTCACCCCAGATGAAAGCAGCTCCCAAAAAGCCCCCTGGGGCATCAACATCATGAAGAAGAACAAGAAATCCGCCCCTCGCGCCTTCGGCGTCAGGCTGGAGGATTGTCAGCCTGCCCCCGACAACAAGGTACGGCCCTGCCACCACTGCCAGCCCTCGGGGACTCTGCCCAGCCCCTGGCACGCCCTGAGCCCGTCCCTGTCCCTGCAGAACGTGCCCCTGATCGTGGAAGCGTGCTGCAAGGTGGTGGAGGACCGGGGGCTGGAGTACATGGGAATCTACCGTGTGCCCGGCAACAACGCCGTGGTGTCCAGCCTGCAGGAGCAGCTCAACAAAGGAGCCACCGAGATCAACCTGCAGGACGAGGTGAGGGCAGGGCAGGTGGCTGTCCCCATGGCTGGCCCCATCCTGGTCTCCATCTCTGTCACGCCTCTGGAATGTTCTCGTGGTCTGTGTCATCACCCCAGTCCTTGTTATCATCCCAATTATTATCATCCCAATCCTTATTTTCATCCCAATCCTTGTTATCATCCCAGTCCTTGTTATCATCCCTGTTCCTGTCATCATCCCTGTCCCCATCATCATCCCTGTCCTTGTTATCATCCCTGTTCCTGTTATCATCCTTGTCCCGTCATTCCTGTCCCATCATTCCTGTCCCCTTCATCATCTCTGTCCCATCATCCCTGTGTTCATCATCCCAGCCTTTGTTACCATCCCTGTCCCCATTATCCTGTATCCATCATCATCCCAGTCCTTGTTATCCCTGTCCCCGTTATCCCTGTCCCACCATCCCTGTCCCCACTGTCCCTGTCCCGTTATCCCTGTCCCCATCATCCCTGTCCTCATCATCCCTGTCCCCATTATCCTGTATCCATCATCATCCCAGTCCTTGTTATCATCCCTGTCCCCGTTATCCCTGTCCCCACCATCCCTGTCCTCCCCGTCCCTGTCCCCGTTATTCCTGTCCCACTGTCCCTGTCCCATTATCCCTATCCACTTATCCCTGTCCCCAGCATCCCTGTCCCCGTTATCCCTGTCCTCACTGTCTCTGTTCCATCATCCCTGTCCCCACTGTCCCCACCGCCCCTGTCCCTACTGTCCCTGTCCCCGTTATTCTTGTCCCACCGTCCCTGTGCCATTATCCCTATCCCGTTATCCCTGTCCCCATTATCCCTTCCCCCACTCTTTCTGTCCCATCATCCCTGTCCCCACTGTCCCTGTCCCCACTGTCCCTGTCCCATTATCCCTGACCCCCGTCCCCCCTGTCCCCACCGTCCCTGTCCCCCTTATCCCTCTCCCCCCTGTCCCTGTCCCATTATCCCTGTCCCCACTGTCTCCACCTCCCCTTGTCCCCACTGTCCCTGTCCCGTTATCCCTGTCCCATTATCCCTGTCCCCGTTATCCCTGTCCCCCCTGTCCCCACCGTCCCTGTCCCCATCCCCGTCACCTTCCCTGGAGTGGCAGCGCCGCCTCGCGGTCGCTTCCAGCACCGTCGGCGACATCCTGGGGACACTTCTGTCCCCTGGCGGTGGCTCAGGACTGTCCCCTGCTTCGGGGCCAGCATCTCGCGGGGTGTCCCCGGCTGTCCCTCTGAGCAGCGTCCTCTGTCCCCTGCAGCGGTGGCAGGACCTGAACGTCATCAGCAGCCTCTTGAAATCCTTCTTCCGAAAGCTGCCCGAGCCCCTCTTCACCGACGGTGAGTCCCTGTCCCCCGGGCCACCAGAGCCCCAGAGCCCACCCCTGTGTTGGGGACACGTCCCCAGACCCAGTGACACAACCATCCCTAGAGGGGGACAATGCAGAGCCCCCTGTCAGCGAGGCCACTTGTCCCTCCTTGACACCCTGAGACCCTTCCCCAGTGTCCCCTGCGGGTTCATCCGGGGGTCACTGACTCCTGGGGGGGTGGCCCTGTCCCCTCCACCCAGCTGTGACACCCTCATGTGCCACTTTCAGATAAATACAACGACTTCATCGAAGCCAACCGGATCGAAGACGCCAGCGAGAGGATGAGGACGCTGAGGAAGCTGGTAGGGACATGGGACAGGGGTGGGGACACCGCCCTGGACCCCCGCTTTGGGTGGGGACAGTGAGCACGGGGGTGACCCAATGCCACCCCACAGATCCGGGACCTGCCAGGCCATTACTACGAGACCCTCAAATTCCTGGTGGGCCACCTGAAAACCATCGCTGACCACTCGGAGAAGAACAAGGTACTGACCCCCCCTCCCCCCCCTCACCTTGGGCATCTCCTGCCCCACCTGAAGCCCCCTGGGCCGAGCTGGGCTGCAGCTCTGACCCGGTTCTGGTGGCAGATGGAGCCCCGGAACCTGGCACTGGTGTTTGGTCCCACGCTGGTGAGAACGAGCGAGGACAACATGACCGACATGGTGACGCACATGCCCGACCGCTACAAGATCGTGGAGACCCTCATCCAGCACGTGAGTGCTCAGGGGGGCACTGGGAGGGGCCGGGAAAGGAGGGATCTGCACCCCAAAAACGGGGACGGAGTCTCTGACCCCTGTCCTGTCTCCCCCCCGCAGTCAGACTGGTTCTTCAGCGACAAGGAGGACAAGGGTGAGAAGGTGAGTCCTGCCCCCGCCTCAGCGGGGTCTGCCTGTGGGTCAGGGGGGTGCAGACCCCCCCCCAGTTGGGAGTTTGGGGGTTCATGGCAGCCCCCTGATCGCTTTCCCCCCCCTCCTCAGACCCCCGTGGATGAGAAGGAGGCTCAGTCCGTGCCCAACATCGAGTACCTGCTGCCCAACATCGGCAGGACGGCGGCGCCCGGCGATGCCGCAGGTGAGGGGCAGCGATGTCCCTGGCAATGTCCCCTCCTCTCCTGGCACCCCCGGAGTGCCCCTCCCGACTCTCTGTGCCCACCCTTGCCCACATCTGTGGGCAACCAGCCACGGCCACGGCCAATCTGCGTGTGCTGGAGCGGCACATCCCGGAGAGGACATCTCCTCTCCAAAAAATGGGGACAACCCCCGGGGATGCCCTGTCCCCTCCCTCCTCTCTCCGGTGGCCACTCCTTGTCCCTCAGGGCTCCCCCGGCAGCCCCCACCCCCCGGGACCCCCGCCCGTGCCAAACCTGGAGCCCGGGAGCCTTTGACGTGTGACTGATTTCTTCCGTTCTTTCCTTGAACTTCTCTCTGTGCTGTCCTCTTCCTCCTCCTCCTCCTCTTCCTCCTCCAGCGGATCTCCTCGAGAGCTAGAGCGGGTACAGTCTGATCCCGGGTGCATTGCTCAGCACTAACCCGAGTGGGGACCACGAGAGAGAGGGAGCAGGGGGGCACGGCGGCAGGGGAGGGGACGCTGTCCTGCCTGGCACTGTCCCCAAGGTCCCCGACACCAGCAGGGGACCCGCCCAAATCCTTTTCACTCTGCTGTGAAACTTCACTTCACTGGTGCCTGTGGTGGCATCTCGCCTCAGGGATTGGGTGTGGGGTGTCCCAGATCCCTCAAATTTTGGGCTGTGAGGTTCCCAAAGCCCCCGGGGAGGGTCAGCACCCCCTTTCTGCCTCCCCCTCTCTCGTTGTCAGCTGCTAACCCCGTCCCGGGCATGCGGGGAGGGAGAGGGGTCTGTGTCCTGTCCTTGTCCTTCACACGGTGGCAGCAGGGCCTTGCCTGTCCCCTCTGTGTCCCCTCCTCTTCACTCCGTAACCCCCCGGCCCCACCCCAGACCCCGTTCCGAGGCTGCCTGTGGCACGGAGCCACCTCCCCTCGTTCCGTCCTGGTGACAGCGCCCTGTCCCTGTCCCCTCTGTGCCCCGTGGCCGCGGGGGGGTTGGGCTCTCACCTCGGGGGTCCTGGCTGCGTGTGTCCCCCCCTTGTCCCCACTCCTCACCCTGAGTGAGGCGAGCAATGCCAGGGACCCCCGCCCTGTGACCACCGGAGCCCCTCCCTGTGACACCACCCTGTGACACCAGCGGGTGTGGCAGCCCCGGCATGTCCCCGTCCTGGTTTGGGGGATCGGAGCAGCACCCCCAGCACCCCCAGACCCCTCCCCAGCACATTCCCACCCCCAGGACCCCTCTAACCCCCCCCTCTCTCTCTTTCTCCCCTCTGCTTTCCAGGCTCGGCCCGCAGCGGCTCCGCCAAACCGAAGGTGAGAGGGGTCTCGGAGCGGGGCTGGCAGGGTGGGGACGCGGGGATGGGGACACTCAGCGTGTCCCCGTCGGTGTCACCGCCACCCCTGACCCCGCTGTCCCCTCTGTCCCCGCTGTCCCAGGGCACGTGGCCATCGCGCAAAGCTCCGCCGCACCGGGAGCTCCTCGCCATCCCCTTCGTCTCGGCCGCCGCCCGCAAGAGGAAGAAGAGGAGAGAGGCCGAAGGCGTTGGGAGCAGCACCGACGACGACGCGGAGCGCAGGGACAGCCCGGGCCGGCAGCAAGAGCGGGAGGTGACACCTGGCAAAGCCCCCAGGGCCACCAGCACCGAGCCGGCCACCCCCGGCCCGGCGGGGCTGCAGCGAGAATGTTCCAGCGGCTCCGAAGCCGCTCCCGACGCTCGTTCCATCGTGTCCGGCTACTCCACGCTGTCCACCATGGACCGCAGCCTGTGCTCCGTGGCCGGGAGCCGCGGGGACGAGGCGGATGACGAGCGCAGCGAGCTCAGCCACATGGAAACGGACACGGAGAGCCGCGAGGGAGCCCGACAGCGAGCGGGACAGGCCGGAGTGGCCACGGGGACAGGCGACGAGGACAAGTCACCCCTGAACCGCCCTTCCTTCAACTCGCACCGCCTGATCCAATGCGACACGCTGGCCCGCAGGAAATTAGGGAAATGTCCCCCAGCGGTGACCAGCGGCGACGAGCAGAGCTGGGTGGCCCCGGGGCGAGCGTCGCTGCGGGGGCAGCTCCGGCAGCAGCTGCGCGGTTCGGCCGATGACATGGGGGACATCATGGGGGACATCATGGGGGACATCATGGGGGACACGGGGGTCCGCCTGCGCCGGGGACATTCCCCCGAGACTCGCCGCAAGAAGAGCAGCTGGCGCCGGCACACGGTGGTGGTGCCCGGTGGCCTCAAGGACCTCAACTTCAACGAGTGGAAAGAACCGCGGGGACTCGAGGGGACACCGGCACCCTGTCGCGACAAAGACTCGGGGCTCAGCAGCCTGGAGTCCACCAAAGCCCGGCCCGCGGTTCCCGGCCCGGCTCCTCCTGGCAGTGCTGGCCCAGGCACGGCCACCAAGAGCCCCCCGGGTAGCCCCGGTCGCCCCCTGCGCTTCCCGCAGTGTCTCTGAGCCCCCGCCCGGGCAGGGTTTAATTTAAGGACTTGTCCCTTGTCCCCGTATTTAATTGTGCTCTGGACGAGCTGCTGGTAATTATTTAACACATCCCGATGGCCGGGCTTGGGGACAAAGCCACCTCGTCCGCCACGCTTTGGGGACCAGCGGTGGTGGCGCTGCACGGTGCCCCAGCCCCCAGGCAGTGCCAGGAGGGGCGTGGGGGCTCCTGGGGACTGTCCCCAGGGGTGGCAGCGCTGTCCCCAGTGGTGGCATTGCCATCCTCAATGATGGCCCTGCTGTCCCCAGGGGTGGCACCGCTGTCCCCAGTGGTGGCATTGCCATCCTCAATGGTGGCACAGCTGTCCCCAGTGGTGGCATTGCCATCCTCAATGGTGGCACAGCTGTCCCCAGTGGTGGCCTGCTGTCCTCAGTGGTGGCCCTGCTGTCCCCAGTGGTGGCGGAGCGAAGTGCGGGCACTTCTCTGGGAGCTGCGACTGCTCCGGCCGGGGGACCTGGCCCGGGTTGTGCACCCTGGGGACCTTGGGGACCTTGGGGACCTCGGTGTCACAGACCCGTGTCCTGGGCACCTCGGTGTCACAGGCCCCTGTTCTGGGGGACCTTGGGGACCTCGGTGTCACAGACCCCTGTCCTGGGCACCTCGGTGTCACAGGCCCTTGTTTTGGGGGGCATCGGGGTCAGAGACCCCTGTCCTGGGGACCCTGGGGACCTCGGGGACCTCAAGGATAGACCCCTGCTCTGGGGGACCTGGGGGACATCAGCGTCACAGACCCCTGTGTTGGGGGACCTTGGGGACATCAGTGTCACAGGCTTCTGCCCTGGGGACCTCAGGGACCCTGGTGAGACCCTGGTGACCTCGATGAGAAACCCCTGCCCTGGGGACCTTGGGGACATCGGTGTCACAGAACCCTGCCCTGGGGGACCTTGGGGACATCAGTGTCACAGTCCCCTGCCCTGGGGGACCCTGGGGACCCCTCCCTGTCCTGAGCACTTTGGGGATCCCCTGACAGAGCCCCCCCCCCAATGCTGGGGTCTCTTGGGGACATCAGCGCTGTCACCCTGACCTGGGGGGGCTGGCACTGAGGGGGGGACACTGCAGCCATGGGGGAGGTGACACTGCCATCCTTGTCCCCCCCACGGGCCGCTGCCACCAACCCCGCGACACTCCCGGGGTGTCGCTGTCCCCTCCCATCGCTGTCCCCCAGGCCAGAAGCACTTTAGGAAGGGGACACGGGGGTGGCGCAGGGACCCCCGGCCTGGTGCCACCACCTCGGTGTCACCTCGGTGTCACATCCCGTCACCGTCTCTCCGTGTCGTTCTCATAACGTTATGCAAATATTTGCTGTAAAGTCGTTTGTTTTCCTTTTCTTTTCGATTTTTTTTGGTTTTTTTTTTTTTGTTCTTTCCCCCCTGTAAATATCGTCTCTGTCCCTGTAACATATCCCAAAGGATTTATAAGGATTTTTTAAAAGAAGTTTTGCTCAGTGGAAAGGCCAGCCCCGAGCAGTGGTGACTTTTTAAAACCCTCCCTGCATGTCCCTCCCAAAAAAAAAAAAAAATTAAAAAAAAAAAAATTCCTTCCCATTCCCGGCGTGTTGGCCTCGTCGGGATCTGCAAAAATCCAAAAAAACAAAAAAAAAACCCCAAACCAACCCAAAAAATTCCTCCCTGCTTTGGCCCCCCAGTCCTGGTCTATATATTGGAAATAAACTGGTTATTCATGGTTTTGTTGGTATTAATTCTCTTTTTTTTTTTTTTTTTTTTTGGTGGGAAGAGAACCCAAATTCCTGCTGCTGGGAATTTTTATTCCTGGATTTCTCCACGGGAAGATAAATCTCATTTTTCTCTGAGCTTTTGGGGAGAAAATAACGGGATTGGGATGCTCCATCCCCAATCAAAATTCTCAATTTTTTTTTAGGGGCGAAAAAAGAGAGAAAAAGAGACGAGGAAAAAAAAAAAAAAAAAAAAGATAATTTTATTAAAGCCAGACACTCTGATAGAAAAGAAAAAGTTATAAAGGGAAAAAAAAAAAAAATGGAAAAGAATAAAAAGCAACCCTTTTGTCACGGGAATTACAACGGTCACACACAACTACCCATGGCATCCACGGCGACACGGGGGACACAGCGGGGGGGTGGCACGGGGTGGGGGAGGGGTCACGTCCCCTCCCTCCCCTCCCCCGCTTTTTATTT